AATAACACTTTCTCACCCGTTAAGTTTCAAAATGACACTTTCCCACCCATCGTTATGTTCTGCTAGAAAAATTTGTTTTAAGGAAGGGCAAGATGGTCAAAACAGAGAAACATACTTTTCCACGCCGTTCTTTAAAGCTTCCTCTTCTTCTAAACTCCATCTTTTCTTTTTTCTCCTTCTGATTTGTAATTTCATGCTTCTTTAGTGGAGAGACAACCTTCCTTTTGGGCTAGGTAAGTGAAATCTATGCACATGATTGGATGATCCTCCCGGTGAGTCATCAATAGAATCATTCCACTACAAAAAGCTTCACAATGCAACATAGTTAAAAGTTAAAACATACCAAATATATAGAAAACTGTGGATATTCAAAGCACAAAACACTTTCACAAAACGTAAACATCAACAGAACTTCAAAGTCCTAACAAGATGGCAAAGATAAACTGATGTACTGTCAAAGTAAGTCAAAAAAATGTTTTACAACACAAAACAGGAGCAGCTATTCTCCAAACTTCATTCACCCACTGGCAGATCTAACTGATTTGTATTAGTAATCAAACAAAATTGATTTACAAACTAGTTGAAGAAAACTCTGATTCAGAGTAAACAAATAAATACAACACTTATGCTCAGTAATCGGATATATCTGAGACCTTTAACTTCGACACCACCTCATCCAGAGAACATGATACTTCAATGCATCAAGATGCAGCCAATCCCTTCTCACTCAGAGCACCGTTAAGAATTCCGTGAAACCTGTCTGGAAGTATACAACCAACGACCTCACCAAGTAGATTAAGCAGATAGTAACCATTAGTTTTCCGTTTCTTCCTTTTTGCTGAGTTCTCATCGTCCTCTTTAGCCAAGACGTCGAGTTTACACCGTTTCAAACTAGACATTTGAGATTCTAAGTTCTACTTGATTATAATTCTTGAAACAAAACGATCAAACCAATCACCACATCAATCAAAAACTAGAAGGACTTCACTTCCTCCCACTCCCTCTAATTCCAAACCTCAACCCCCAAGTCTACGAATGCAACATAAACCCTAAGTTCCAATCAGTTTGGCGTTCAACAACAATAGAGAAATCAAATAATGATGTCACAGAGACAATCTCGCTCATTCAATCTCCAAAACAACAACATTAAAGACAAATTGAAAGTGAGAATCAAGATTGCGAGAGAAAGTTCTTTAGAGATAGAAAATAAGGGGAGGCAATTTAACTCCCCGGACATCCCAAGTTTGAATTTAAAAAAATAACCCTGAAAAAATTTTGTAATTTTTTTTAAGATAAAAAAACTGACGTGGCACACTTAGGATTCATTAAACATGTAAAACGGGTTAAACTGAAAATATTTAAACATATGTGGGTAATAATAATTAACGAAAGTTTATTTAAATTGTAAAAATTGCAAACGATCCCCCTTCTCCAATCAAAATCGATTAAGCGGACTTAATCGCTTAATCGACCCTAAGAAAACCCCGATGAAACAGCCACCCTTCATCGCGTTTTTCTTATCGTTTTCTGCCACCCAGTGTCGCAATCGTTTACTGTTTGTATTGAAGACATTCCTTCTTACTTAGAAAGAAACAATGGTTGACCTAAACAAATATTTTGACAAAGACCTTGCCCCTCTTCAAATTGTGGATGCAAGTGGTTCGAAAATTGGAGAATCGAAGGTTGCGGTGGAGCAAATTCCGATGAATGAAGTTGGTCCAGTAGGAGATGATACGACGCCGGTAGAAGACAGCCCGCCAGGTGAACAAGGGAGGGCAGGAGCCGAAATTGAAAATGAAGAGGGGGATGCCGACGCAACGTCAAGCGAGAAGGAGGAAGAAGATGAAGTAAAGTTAATAATTTATATATTTTATGAAATTATTGGTTGTTTCAGGTGATATTTAGTGTGTATTGCTATATCGTTTAATCTGAGTTGCTCCCGAAGCCAACCATGTTACAGGTGCTGGGTCCTACTCGTGAAGGATCCTTGTAGAAATTTTGAGCAAGGACAATGTTCCCCTGATTGATTTGGTTCTGGACCCACGACTTCAAAGCGATTCAGTATATTGCTTAAGCGATCTGGTATAAATAAGTCTGATCGCTTAAGCGATCTGTGATCTGTTGCATTATACGACATACCAGATCGCTTAAGCGATCCATCAGATCCATAACATATTTTCATTCATCTCTACCTACAACCGGTGCTACCACCCTCAGCTACCCACAATGCAAGAAAATATTTAACAAATTTCACTCCTTTCAACTTACATTACATCAAACACAACCCAATAACCTAAACAACTAAATCAAAATCATAACCCAAACCCAATCCATCATTAAATATTTGTAAATCGAACTATAAAATGGAAAGGGGAGATACACATACCTGGACGAAATGTTAGGAGGAGGAGGAGGCGGATCTGTGGCGGAGAAGATGTTAATGGCGGGGAAAAAAGATAGTGTTAATGGCGGGAAGAAGAAGATGTACAGGAAGGAGGAAGAAGAATATGTAGACGAAGCTTTGAATAAATAATAACCAGGGGAGGGATGCATTAATGGCAGGAGGAAGAAGAAGAAGATGTTATGTTTGGGTTTGTTTGCAAGAATTTCAGGTTTTTGGGGACATATTATAATTTTTAAAAGATTACACAATACTTCATTAATCCTAATTAAGCCATGATTAGTGTTTAATTGTTATTATTTTGTCTTAATAAAAAATAAGGTCATTTAGTAAAGACTAAAAAACTACATGGCATTTTAATTAAATTCAAGGCCAATATGACCTTTTAATCATTTGCCCCAAATAAGGGGGAAATGATAGAGAGATTTTTGGGTGAGAGATAGATTGTAGCAAGTAGAATGAGTAGCTTCATGTAAATTGACCATTTGCCCTTTTTCAAAACAATTTTTCTAATAGAATATAACGATGGATAGGAAAATGTCATTTTGAAACTTGACGGGTGGGTAAGTGTCATTTTGCCAAACCTTGGGCGGGAAAATGTCGTTCTCCCTTAAAAATAACGTAAGTTTTGCTTTTGTCAATGCATAGCTAAAATGTATAATAAGATCCCTCTATCATTGCTAAAAAAATTTAATGATATCACGTATGAAAATGTTTATAAATTTTTTTCTCACAACCTTGATGTGACAGTTCGTAATTGGTTAGTTCGCAATTAATTAGTGAGACTCATGTGAGATCCATTGTGAACCGATCAATTGTGAACTGTCATGTCAGGGTTGTGAGAGAGGGTTGTTGGTGTAGTCTTATTCATTAAAGATTCATCCAAGTTGACAATTAATTATGTTGCACTCTTCCTCCTCCTCTATCTCTCAGGAGCTCCTCTACGCCGCCATGATTATGCAATTATGTCCTCTACCTTTTTAACTTTGTATTGAATGTTGAATTATATATATTTTTTAACAATTATTTATGTTTAAAGTAAAAATGTTAACGTAATTAAATGAATATAAACCGCATCTTCTTCCGCTTAAAAAGAAAAGTTGAAAGTAGTTGTGCCACTTAATTATAAGATTAATTTGAGCACCGAAACCTAAATTGTTGCTATTGTAAAGGCTGAATCTATACTGAAAGGACAGTTTTCCTCCCTACCCCAAAGTTATTCTTTGTCCATCAAATTTTCTATTTGACCACCTTTAACCACGTAAAAGTTAAGGGTATAAGTGAAATTTTCTTGCTCAAAGCCAATTAAATAGGAAAATGATGGACAAAAACTAACTTTAAGGTGGTTAGGCTTCGGTAAAGTTTTATTATTAAAAAGATATGATTATAAGTGAGATAAATTATTTTAAAAATGAATAAAAAATATTATATTAAAATATTTGGTTAAATTTATGAGTATAAATAATTACTATGTTTGATTAGAAGAAATAAAAAATTATCGAAAGAAATTTTTACTAAATTATTTTTCTTTTTAATATTAATATTAATATTATTATTATTTAAAGTATTACTTTTAACCCATTACATGTAAGAATTTAACTAAAACATCCTCATAATAAAAATTTAAAAATTAACAAAATACCTCTAATCACCTAAAACGAACCCATCAACTATCACCGTCAACGAAAATTGCCGAAACAGTATACGACCGACTTGCGAGTCAAAGTGTCATTGAACTCCATTTTAAAAGGTGTTGACCTCTAAGAGAACAGGTCAGAACTTTTCTCGAGTAGAAATGCTTGCTAGAGAAAAAAAAAAAAAAAAAAAAAAAAAGAAAAAAAAAAAACGTTTCTCTTTCTCTATGATTTTACTTTGTAGGAATTCGTAAATAGCTTTCTATCCTATTAATAGGGTTTTGGTCTCAACCTTGCGTTCCTAGATTAAAAAATAATAAAGTTTTGCTTTTCTTAATGCATAGCTAAAATTTATAATAAGATCCATCATCATTGCTAAAAAAATTTAACGATATCACGTATGAAAATGTATAAAACTGCGGTTTACACTACCAAAGCCAGTAGAAGATGAGGCCGATCCGTTCCTTCTTCAAACAATTTCACTATTGAAAAAAAAAAAAAAAAAAAAAACTAATTTAAGAAAAAAGATACGAGCTTCAAGTACATTTGAGAAGAGAGAGGTGTTGGGTTCATAGAACTTGTATATTATTTATTACTTTCTTAAAGAGAAGAGATGCAGTAGCTAAACTACGAACAACCAGGCCAGCTGGTACCGATGATGAAACACAAAAAGCCCTTCATCCTCTACCTCTAAGTCTCTAACTCCACTTCATCACAAGAAAGAGATTTACCATAAGAGTTGTATTATCACTTTTAAATCATATTTTTCCAGAAATAAACACAGAAAACGACACCTTTTCAACTTTGAATTTGAACCAACCCTCTATCCAATTAATGAAGAATTTAAGACGTTTGAAAATCTTTCAACTGCTCACCTACTTCAGTTGGTGCCTACATTAACTGTCCTTCACCCACCTTCTTTCATTACACTTAGATCCTCATATATATCACCCCCTTCCCTCCATTAGCATTTCTTATCAGAAACCACCTCAATCTCTTCTTCTTCATTATTATTATTATGGCTAGAAGTGAACAAGATCTCTTGTCAACTGAAATTGTCAACCGTGGGATTGAATCTTCCGGGCCCAATGCCGGCTCTCTTACATTCTCTGTGAGGGTCCGCAGACGCCTTCCCGATTTTCTCCAATCGGTGAACTTGAAATATGTGAAGTTGGGTTACCATTATCTCATCAATCACGCCATCTATTTGGCCACCATACCTGTTTTGTTACTTGTTTTTGGTGCTGAGGTGGGGAGTCTCAGTCGGGAAGAACTCTGGAAAAAGCTGTGGGATGATGCACGCTATGATCTTGCCACTGTGCTTGGCTTTTTTGGTGTGTTTGTGCTTACCCTTTCGGTTTACTTCATGTCTCGGCCTCGCTCTGTTTATCTCATCGATTTCGCTTGTTATCGTCCTCCCGGTGAACTAAAGGTACATAAAAAATTGTCATCATGCATGTATGGTTATGGTTTAATCTTTTGGGTTTATTTGTTACACAACATGTTATCTTAATTTTAGGTGACGAAGGAGCAGTTCATCGAAAAAGCAAGAAAATCAGGCAAGTTTGATGAGGCAAGCGTAGAATTCCAAAGAAGAATAATACAATCATCAGGTATTGGCGATGAAACATACATCCCCAAAGCTGTGATGACTGATGAAAATTGTGTTACGATGAAACAAGGTCGCTTAGAGGCCTCAATGGTAATGTTTGGAGCTCTAGATGAGCTCTTCGAGAAGACTAGAGTTCGTCCGAAAGACGTCGGGATCCTGGTGGTGAACTGCAGCATCTTCAACCCTACACCGTCGCTCTCCGCCATGTTAATCAACCACTACAAAATGAGAGGCAACATCTTGAGTTACAATCTGGGTGGGATGGGCTGCAGCGCCGGGATCATAGCAGTGGACTTGGCCCGTGACATGTTGCAAGCTAACCCAAACAATTATGCCGTTGTGGTGAGCACTGAGATGGTGGCCTACAATTGGTACCCCGGCAAGGACCGGTCCATGCTTATTCCAAATTGCTATTTCAGGATGGGCTGCTCCGCGGTCCTGCTATCCAACAGGCGGCGTGACTACCACAGGGCCAAGTACCGACTTGAACATATTGTTCGGACGCATAAAGGCGCCGACGACCGGAGCTTCAGGTTTGCTCTTGTTCTTGAATTTGAGTAGCTTAGTTTAATTGTTTGTGCATATGTTTATGTGAGCTAGGACTAAGAAGATATTATGATTGGATAATGATTTATTTAAGAGCCTAATACAATTCCCCCCTTGAGGTTTCCTTATATAACATTTCCCCCTCAGATATCAGAAATAACAATTTATCCCTTCATGTCACTGTCTGTTAGGTTCTTGTAGATTATCTAACATATTTTACACTCAATCCGTTGAATTAAATAACGGAATACTGATAGTAAGGGATAAATTGTTATTTTTGATACCTAAGGGGAAAATTGTTTTTATTGAAACCTCAAGAGGAAATTGTACATGTATTAAACTCTTTATTTAATTCTTATTTTTATGAATGATCTTAATAGGATGGGGCCAAAATTACACTATATCATAAAAGTAGGCGTGGACAGAAATTAAGAGATTATGATTTATGAGCAATAGTAGTAAACTAGTCACATGCACAATTGTTTATCTTTTAGAGATTGATTAACAAATAGAAACAGTTGTTATTATTAGTATTTTACAAAAACTGAAAATGATTTTATAGATGGGATTTATGATTATTACTAGCTTTGAAATTGACTATTGAAACCATAATTTATTAAAACTTAGATTTTACAAATTTATGTTAATGGGGAGGATTTATTTTGATTAGTTATATGAACTGAATTCTAGATCTATATAATAGCCATAATTGCAATATTTTTCTTCAATTGAATTTGTAGAGCTCTGGTAAGTGAAGATTAAAAACATAGCATGTGAAATTTTTGAATAGCATTTGATCAGGTAAATGAAATGAATTAATGGTAGCCATGGTGCAGCTCTTGACATGTGAAAAGCCATTTAACTGTAAGATTTATGTCCCACCAGACACTAATTACTTCTCTCATCAGCTCCCATCTGTTAATTTGTTTTGTGAATTTTGTATTAATTTCAAATACAATCACATGTGGATCAGGTGCATTTACCAAGAGGAAGATGAACAAGGATTCAGAGGCTTAAAGGTGAGCAAAGATCTTGTAGAAATAGGCGGTGAAGCTCTCAAAACAAACATCACCACCCTCGGACCTCTCGTACTTCCCTTCTCCGAGCAGCTCTTCTTCTTTGCCACATTAATCTGGAGACACTTATTCGGTGGCGGCGGATTACAAACATCGGCAAAAAAGCCATACATTCCCGATTACAAGCTCGCGTTCGAGCACTTTTGCGTGCATGCAGCGAGCAAGACCGTGCTGGATGAACTACAGAAAAACATGGAGTTGAGTGACAATAACATGGAGGCTTCAAGAATGACATTGCATCGATTCGGCAACACGTCTAGCAGCAGTATATGGTATGAACTGGCGTATTTGGAAGCAAAAGAGAGAGTGAAAAGAGGAGATAGAGTTTGGCAAATCTCATTCGGTTCTGGGTTCAAATGTAACAGTGTGGTTTGGCAGTCGATGCGGAGTGTAAGGAAGCCTACTTCTAGGAATCCATGGCTTGACTGCATTGACAGATATCCTTTGCCATCTAATTAGGGTTCAGCAAATTAAAGGATGATAATAATGTATTAGCAAGTTTCCTTTTAAAGTTTGTGGCATCTGCAATACAGATATCTATATTATAAGCTTTTTGTTATGAAATAATGAAGTGTTTAATTAAATTTGTGAATGTTTGTTTGGTATTCCTCAGCTGTCACAATTATGGTCCAGCTAGTAGCAACTAATGAATAATTCATGATGTTGCATGGTGGTTGAGAACTGTCTGAGCTTGAGTGATTTTCCCAGAAAGTGCAAGAAAATGTGAAAAGAGTTAATGATGAGGAAACCAATGAATATTGGGAGAAGACACAAAGTAGTACAAATTAAGTTTCCACTAATGATTTAACTGTATGCCTGCCCCTTATTTCTTATCTTTTGGTACACTTGATTTAAACTTGAATTATTAAAGAAATTATAGCAGCAATAGTAACATTTTCTATCTTCCCCTGAGTCAATTTTAAGCCAGTTTTTGTTGTTTGTTTCATTGTTGAATTTTCAGCATGGATTCGACATGGCAGCAGCCACTAAGCCCAAAGCCAAAGGCCCAAATCCTATCCCACAAATGGAAAATTGATAAATGAGTCCAAATAATTGCTCAAAATGTTTATTTTAGACATGAATTTATAACTCGTAGTTGAATTTCAAGGCATGCAGAAGAGAGCAGTGGACTGGGTTGACCTTATTAATAAATTAAATTTACGAATTTCCTTAGTACACTGACGACTCTTCACCAGACTTTGTCAAATCTAAAGCTATAACCTTATTAATAATGAAGACGACTTAATTTAAGATGCGTATATTACATGTGGGTGAAACTTCACGTACAAAGTCAAAGTTTGCTTTTCTGTTTCTATAGAAACAAAACAAAAGCAAATTAATGGCGTACTTATATCTGTATATTACTAAAATTTTCTTGACTGAGTGATGGCCTGCCAGAATTATTTAATGAATTTCTACCACGATGGGGATGTATAGATGGTGGTTGAGGATGTTAATTCATTTTCACATGGAAAATTCAAAGACACGAGCCAATATGTAACTAAATCATTTACTGAAATGTTTGGTTAACTGCTGTATGTCGTGAATGACAATGAATATTTCTAATAAAGCTAGGTTTTGCTTTGCCCGAAAACTACAACCAACCCAAAAGTAATAGCTTTATTTTCATTGTTGCACCAAACATATCTCGTGCTTTCATGCCCATGACCATAAGGGAAGAAAATTGGACTGATACCAGTAAACAAGAGTTCAAATCTTTCAACAAATGGTTGAGTATATATGCAACTTAAAATTTTGAAGTAAATCATAATATATATTCTCTAAATTTATATATATATATATATGAAGTAAATTTGAAGAATTGTTGAGTTGAGAAACACTAGTGTTAGTTTTTGAGTTGATCAAAATAGATATTTTGTTTCTGACTTGTTTTAATTCCAAACCTTTTAGTCAATGAAAGACCGGCCTAACCCATATATTGTTAATAATGGATCATATAGTTAATATATACTTGATCTTGACCTTAGCCATAACACCCCAATTAATATATTGAAAATTAAACTAATACTTGGCTTGCCTCCCTTTCAATGTAGTTTCCATGAAGTGTTAAATAAACTCACGCATCAATCAATCAATGTGGGCTGCGCGCCAACTGGATTTGTCTCATTTTCATGAAGAAAAGAAATCATATTCATGCATATATTTCAGTTTCCTTTAAAATCTGGAGACACACACCAAGAGTTCTTCACATAATCCAGGAAATTTCGGTGACAGTGCGACAGACTTGTACACATGCTAATACCTTTAAGAACTACTGGAAATTAATATTCATATGAAAGCAAATATAATAAACCCTAGCTACTATTTTCTAAAGACCATTACTATGACAGTGAAAAATTCAACAAATATTTGTCTTATATTACTTTAGTCATGGCTGCAGAAACCAAGTCTTCAACTCCATGCATCATACATGCATGCATTTTTTCATATTTTTTTTTTTTTTTAAATTTCAATTATTGTTTTTTCTTTTTCCAAGTGAATTTGATGAAGTCATGTAAACACATTAATTTCCGAGGACCTTCCTAATTTCCTTTTAACTTTCCCAGATGCTTCTCTTCTTCGTCTTTCCTATTATTTTTTTCCAAACTGCCTATGAGTCTTAGCTCACTTCAATTATTTAAAATTACGACATAGCTTTGAGAGTAGAGGGAGAATGAATCGGGTCTATGAAAACGTGTACAACTTCGGTATCTTCGACATGGACTTGATCTTCTTCCATATGATCGTCAGATTACTGAGCAATATATTAATTCATCAGCTTTATGATTAATAGTAATTAATCGAAGTTGACTTTGTTATATTGGGCTATGCAAAAACAACACGCTATGGGTTTTCTGCAGTAATATATATATATATATATATGTTCATAAATAATAAAAGATCTATATATGTTAAGTGTTTCAAACAAATATTCTGAGGTTATACATAAAGAAAATGATATGGTTGTATAAATTAAGTCTTAAAGTCAATGGAAATATAAGAGCAAGCATCGATCTACCACTGAAAATTCAAGCTACAGTGGAAGAATTATAATAATTAATAAGTGGATCATCAGACCTCAAAAATTATATTCATTGACTTGAAGGAAGAACTGAAACACATGGGTTTAACAGTCAAATTAATAATATATATGTGGGAACACTAAGAATTCAAGGTAGTCTTATCCTAACTAATCTTTTTATATTTATAACAAGAACATGTTACCTTGTCTTTTATCATCAAGAGATCCAAAAGCTAGCAACTCATAATTAATAAAGGGAATTAAAAAAACATTTCAATTACTTTATTTAGTCTTTGTAAAACCGTGTAAATGTTTGTATTTGAATTATATTCAAGCTTATTACAAGCATACAGATAAAATATTTTATACCATGAACAAGAGAACTATATAATTATAAGTTATACGAAGGAAAGTAGATATTCAACTAAACACTTATACTAAATCTGGTACGGTTTCGTGAACCAAGTACCAAATAGTAATGAGCTTAATTAATTTTAAAATATAGGTTTTCAACTAGGTAATTTAAATATACAAGCCAATATAAGAAATGAAATCATTTACTGGCTACTGAAAACGAAAGGGTGGACTACTATTGAACCTACCATAATTCACTTAGAATAACTGAATAAGCTATATTTAAAATTAATTAATTATATTGATTAGGAAATAGTCACCCAACAACTCTATAAATACCACATCATTTCTAGTAGTTCCATCATCGATCGGAATAGAATTCATTAAGGGCTTAGTAGCTATATTATTATCAAACCAATATGGCTAGCCAACTGCAAAACCATGTTCAATATTCTAAAGTTGGGATAATCGGGGCTGGCATCAGTGGTATTGCTGCGGCTAAACAGCTTCGTGCTTATGATCCCGTGGTGTTTGAAGCCACTGATTCAATCGGGGGTGTTTGGAGACACTGTTCTTTTACTTCAACTAAACTCCAAACCCCTCGATGTGATTTCGAGTTTTCTGATTATCCTTGGCCTGAAAGGGATAATGCAAGTTTTCCTTCTTATATTGAGATATTGGAATACTTGCATGGCTATGCTCGACAGTTTGATGTGCTGAAATACATCAAGTTCAACTCCAGGGCGGTGTCAATCCGATATGTTGGTGACTGCGAAACCGCCCAAGCAGCCATGGTTCCGGGAGAATATGGCTCTCTTTTAAGAGGTCATTCCGTTTGGGAGGTTGCTGTGGAGAGTGGCCAAAAAAAAACTGTTCAGGTTACACACTTGTTGCTTCTTTTTCTCTTTTATCTTGACTTGCGCAGAGTCATAAATATTAAAACATGTGAGTCGTCAATGACTCATCAGCATCGTTGCATGCATGTCATAATATGTTTTCTACATGTGTTATGAATCATATTCATAAAGTTTACACCATTCGTTTTTTACTCATAAATCATTATTCCTCTCTCTCTCTCTCTCTCTCTCTCTCTCTGATAAGTTCATATGTACTAATACTACTTTTCTTGGTGCGTACAGTGGTATGCTTTTGAGTTGCTCGTGGTATGCATTGGAAAATATGGAGACGTCCCAAAAATGCCAAATTTCCCCCGCAATAAAGGCGAAGAGGTGTTTCATGGTAAGGTCATGCACGCCATGGATTACTCCAAGCTTGACAAAAAGGCCGCCACAGAATTACTTGAAGGAAAGAAGGTTGCAATTATTGGTTTCAAGAAATCAGCTATTGATCTTGCTGGTGAGTGCGCTGAGGCAAATCAAGGTATATATCAAATTAACTCTAACCAAATATATTCTTAGTTTGTATCAAATCCCATAAAGAAAATTTCAAATTTTGTTTGATAGGAAAAAGAATGGCTCAGCGCTGACTTATAAATAAATAAATATATATATAAAAAAAAATCTAATTGTACGACCTGATTAAATTTTTTCATGGTTGTGACTTTGTGATTGTGAACATGCTGTTTCTCCCAGGTGAAAAGGACCAAAGAGTCACGTTGTGAATTAAATATATATGCCAGGACAATCTTCATCTTTATAGAAAATTTAATGCTTTCTATAATCCATATGTAAACATGAGCTTGGACCAAATAATTTTATGATAATTAAAAGTGTCAATTGTTAATTCTCCCAGGTTCACATGCTTGTCCTATATATAATTACTTGATTAATTAATTAGATGACTTTCTGGATAAGGAGATACTAGTAACTACTAAGTAGTAACCACTGAAATATATGTAGTGGTAGCCAGAAGAATAATATTAAAGAATATTCAAGATGAGTAATTTTCTTTGTAAATATTTTTCCTCTTAGTCAGGCAATTTCATGGTTTTGTCCTTGATTAGAAATTGAATGCGTGCCACCTGATTGTGATTGAGAAAATGAAGTCTTCTTGTTTGTACATTGACATGCATATAATTTTGGTTTGGTTTTTTCCATGGCAGGACCAAATGGACAACCATGCACAATGGTGATAAGGACTTTGCATTGGACTGTTCCATCTTACTCCATATGGGGATTGCCATTTTTCTTGTTTTATTCAACAAGGTCTTCTCAGTTTCTACACGAAAGGCCAAATCTATGCTTCATCAGGACATTGCTTTGTTTTCTATTATCTCCAATGGTAATTAAATTTCTAATTTACTTTACATAATCTCTTCCTTATTATTGTAACAATTGTTATCATGATTTTTACTATATATTTTGATTACAGAGAAGAGCCATTTCCAAGTTTATAGAGTCTTACTTGACCTGGAAGTTACCCTTATCAAAGTTTGGACTAAAACCAGATCATCCATTTGTGGAGGACTATGCATCTTGCCAAATGGCGATCTTGCCGGAAAATTTCTTTTCCGAGGCGGAAAAGGGGAACATATTGTTCAAAAGAGCATCAAAATGGTGGTTTTGGAATGGAGGAATCGAATTCGAAGACAAATCCAGAGTAGAGGCTGATGTTGTACTTCTTGCTACTGGTTATGATGGAAAGAGAAAGCTACAATCTTTATTACCTGAGCCTTTTGCTAGTCTTATTGTGGACTCTGCTGGGATTATGCCCTTGTACAGGTAAACAAAATGAATAATTATTAAGATTAGTTCATGTGTAAATACAAATTAATTAAAAAGATTATATATATGATCACAGGGGCACAATTCATCCTTTGATTCCGAACATGGCGTTTGTGGGGTATATCGAGAGTATTTCGAATCTTCACACGGCGGAGTTACGGTGCAAATGGTTGGCTAGACTGGCTGAAGAGAAATTTAAGCTTCCAAGTGTTGAGAAAATGGTTGAGCAAATAGGAAAAGAGATGGAAATAATGAGGAGGACAACCAGGTTTTTCAAGAGACATTGCATTTCAACATTCAGTATCAATCACAGTGATGAGATTTGTGAAGAGATGGGGTGGAAATCATGGAGGAAGAGGAACTGGATCCTGGAAGCTTTCAGTCCTTACACCAGCCAAGACTATGAAGAAGAAAAATAAAATCTTTATATGAGTGGTCTGAAGTTAATTAATTATAATGCTAGAAAATAATGGAGAGTTTTGTATCTTCATATGACCACTGCTTTATTTGTCTCTCATATGTACTCTAAATTATTATTATTAATAGAATAAAAGGAATTAATAGTTATCTTATTTATTGAATAATTATATAAATGGCTATATGGGGCAGCTAATTATGTCAACAAGGGTGGCCAGGTGTAGTTGTATGGGTTAGGTTTTGACCATGGGAGCATAATTGAAGAACACACTGATTCTTTCACATTTGATCCATTATCATCTCATCTCATATAAAATACAATACCAAGATATACACTTAACCATATAAAATTTGTCTGAAATATATAAAAATTCTTTCTTGTCTTCAACTAAAATTATTCGTTATTTTTCTTTTTAGTCCCATCTTCAATTCTAGGTGAGGATATAATTGTAATAAAAAAAATATTATTTTTCTTTCTTTTTTTCACTTCAAAGCTTTATATTTTTGGTTTTCAAAAATTTAAAGTAATTTCAAATCAATCAAAATTAACAATTAAACATGAGGCTAATAAATCAATATCAATATTACACAATATGGGATTTAATTTGTTTACAAAATTACAAACAACCTTAAAACTCTTACAATAAACTAATTACTTCTAAATCCCACTTTGACAAAAAGAAAATCAAGTTTCATACCCATTAAAAGAAAGAAAAATGTTATCCTTACAAAGAAGGTTACAAAGTGAAGGAAAAAACAAAGAAAAAACTGAAAAAGAGAAAGAGAAATAGAGAGAAATCATGAAGATCAAGAGTAGAGATTGTTTTTGTATGCTCCTTTTTGTATTTGTCTTTGTAAAACTAACACTTCTTTAAAAGAAAACACCCTATTATAATAAATTCGTTATCATACAAATATGGATTAATTTGTTTACAAAAACAAGTAATCGGTATTATAAAATGGGGTTGACTATTAAAACACCATCTCAAGTTTGAAATAAATTAAATAGCCATAAACTTTATCGTTTAAAGGATTAAGCTTATATCGTTTAAACGAATGGTCATTTAATAAAGAGTTTCAAACTTCATAATTATTTAATTCATTCTAAACTTGAAATGGTATTTTAATTAATTTTCCCCATTATAAAATATGGATTTGTCTCATTCTTTATTGTTAATTTTGATTGATTTGAAAATAGGTAAACGACTTCTTCCCACCCAAATAATAGCCTAATAACACTTTTCTACTCAAAAGTTTCAAAATACAATTTTACTACTCAAATGTTATATTCCGTTAATAATTTCCGTTAAATACAATGATATTCATTGCGAAGATGAAAATACCATTTACCAAAACTCCTAACCCTGATTGCCCACTGATAGTCGTCACCATTCACCGCCCTCCTTCGCAGTTTGGTGTTAATTGACCATCATAACCTTGCTTATAACATAATTTTGACCATTTTACCCTTCTTCACAACAAAATTTAATAACGGAATTATGTTTTGGGTAATAAAGTAATATTTTGAAACTTTTTTTGTGGGAAAATGTCATTAGACAATTATTTGGGTGGAAACAAGTGGTTTACTCTTTGAAATTACTTTTACTTTTTGAGAATTGTATATATAAAGCTTTGAAGTATAGAGAAAGAAAAATATTTTTTATTACAATTATAAATGATGATGGGGCTAGCGAGAAAAACATTGGGGGCTAAAAGTCACTTCCTATTCATTAATTCCAAGTTTATCAACCAATATATCCAAAATCTCAAATCACAAATTAAGTTCCGCATTATTAAATTAAGGTTTGATCATTGGGTTTATAAACATTTGATAATAGATATGATGATGGTGGTGGGGGAAGAAGCCAAATCAAATGGGTGGCTGCAACTTGGGTTGAATTTTGGTGATCTACGATAATAGACATATATGGTTAAGCAAGCAAACAACGGTGGCATCGGTGGCTTTGAGTTTTGTGGTATAGGGTTGGGTTTTGTTTTTTACCATTTGTTACAGAAACTAGAAAGACTGTTTTTCCCTTAGGCCATCTAAATTTAACAGAGGACGACGATGGTTGGTTTCCAAAATTTGTAAAAGCTAGAGGGTCTCCAAAATTAAAATTACCTCCTCCTACCATTACTTATTTCAAGGGCGATCCACCAGATAAACACATTCTGATCCCAAATTCCTCGTTAATATGATTAACCCACAAGATTTTGAAATCAATTATATACACCCACACCCAGAAATACATAAGAGAATTCCAATAGTGCTGAATGTTAGTATCCGTGTTCAATTTTTGCCAGTCTTTTCTCTACTTCTTTTCTGGGCTCCTTGGGCAATGGCATTAAACAGATTCAGTGATAGATTGGAATAACCAATTCTTACTAATTAATATATTATATTAACAATATTATTTAAGGTGATCAAGAATTAAAGAGAAAATCCATGACCATCAGTGTCTTAAGATTATGATTTAATTTTAAACAGAGGAGAAAAATGCATAATTATTTCACATTACAGACCCAGATGGTGGTGGCTCCAGAGTTTCCTGAATTGAATTTCATTCTCACATGCACTCTTTTAATTCAAAAGCCACATATAAAGATGGAACAGTAATGAGAGCTACTTATATTATATATTGATATATCATATATTAAGGAATTGATGAGGAACAAAAAGCATGTTCCTCTCTTACATTATTTTCTTCTATGGCTTGCTATCTTTAACATATTGGCAAGCCTTATTTGAAGAAAGTTTCTAAAAGACTACCAAATACAAAACTTCATTTAAAGGAAATTGAAGGGAAGACAAAGATTTTATTGACAAAAAATAATCAATCCTTGTCAAGATAGCCACTCGCTGTCCATTCCTTCAAATTCTCCAATATCCATGCTGTTGATCAAAATTTTACAAGAGGAAAAAAATCAGTAAACTTATCATCCATCGGCAACAACTTTTGTACTGCCGTCCCAATAAACAAAAGATTAAAAAAAACAATTAAAAAACTCATATTTGTGGGCTGATCAAATCATATCAAACTAAACGCAGCCTTTGTAGAAAGACTCATGACACACATCTCATATGGAACAGGCTTGGACTCTTTGGACAGTTCAATTTGGATACGGACACTATAGATGTCACCAGAGTCTTAACTAAAATGGGAAAATTTTTAAAACTTCTTATCATATGCTTAACAGAACTCACCTCTCTCACCTGAATTCTGATAAGAATCACTCAAAAATCCTAAGTTCTAACTTTGAAATTACTATTCAGAAACATATTGGATGAGTGGTGTAAATGCATGGAACATAAAACATTTCCACACCCTCAAATTTAATATTTTTAACTGGAAACAACTTACTGAGGCAAGGCCGGATCTTGAAGGTAGTCATCTGTGTAGTTGTCACTGAGATGCTGCAAGCAGCTCTCATTTGCATTCAACCAGGATGGAAATTCCATGACTTCATCGAACGGATGGAAACCATCATCCTCTGTCTTCATTTCTTCAGGTTCAAGTTCCATGGTCTTCAAGAACTTGAACCACCAAGCTGATGTCATAAAATTCATAGTATCATTCCACTCTATCTGATGTTGCTCTCCTATTGATCTGATCTCGGCCATTCTCTCATCATCCATAGCTGGATGTAGGCCGGTTCCAGTACCACAGAATTCGAAAACATCTGAAACGGCAGATGGCCCCCCAAAGTCATGTGATATAGCAACTGAAGGAAGTTCTTCAGTAGCAAATGAAAGAGTAGGAGAAGAAGACGATGATGGAGATGCGGAAGAGTAGATTGATGGGTTGTTGCTGCTGTGGTAAAGAGAGGTATCTAAGTTGTTGAAATCATGAAGATTGAGGTTTAGGCCTAAGGTTTGGTTTGGAAGAGTAAAATTGAGGGTTTCGGGAAACGGCTGGGGAGGTGCTTGAGAAACGGGCCAAGAATAAGGAAAAGGAGGAGGAGGAGGAGGAGGAGGACAATTAGAGAAAGATGAATATGAAAGATTGTCTAAATAATTAGAGAAATTGGAAGTGTTTGATGGGTATATTCTAGGATTTCTCCTAGACTTTATCTTGCCTTCCTGTTCAAAACATGATTGAGGTGTTAGTTGTAAAGGTTGTGATTGTTTTTTTTGTTGTTGCTCTAGTTGTTGTTGCTCACTGGCCTGTTTCATAGCTGCCCTATGGAACTTGAGTGCAGTGACAATTTCTCTCCTAGCCTCAGCCATGTTTAGAAGCCTTTCTTGGTATGGCCTACTGGTGTGGAGTCTCCTCCTAACTTGTTTTTTATGTTGTTGCGGCTGTTGGGGTTGCTGGTTCTGCGGGGTTTCACTAAACCCTTCATCGAATTTGGTTAAATTTTGGGCAGAGACACTCTGATCACCATCAACACAATCAGGGTCTTTAGGGTTCATGGGGTCTTTGGTTCTTGATGAGGTCAGTTGTTTCACAAGGTTACGGATATAAGCACCAGAGAGATGAGGCTCATCTTTGAGCTTACTATTACTAAGCTTGCTGTCAATTTCCATTCCTTCTTTGCTTTCTTGCTTTGAAGATCTACCCCTCATGTCGCTCCCTATGTGTCTCACACTCTCAATTTAGAAAGGCAGAGAAAGAAGGTGGGTTGGGAAGATCATGGTTTTTTTTTTTTTTTCCTATATTGTGAGAGACAAAGTACACAACGCAGAGAGAGGCAGAGGCTGATCCGGAATACCCCTGAGGTCCTCATGGGTGTTATAAATACTAGTTTAGGGACAGTCTAGGGTTTTTAAATTCTTTTGGATTTTTCCCTCATTTGGCAAACCACATATATTATTGTTTTTATTAACCGCCTTAAAAAGGCAGTTAGAGGTTTGCTCTTTGCATTACTAAGTAACCTTTTTCTTTCTGCTATATTTATTAGAGGCCTATTCGTCTATTGGCTGGAATGCTTCTACATGAAGCTGCCCTAATCTTTCTAATATATCATCTTGTCAATAGTTCCCAAGCTAAATAATTAGAATAGATGATATGTCAAACATGCAGGATTACAACATCAGTTTGTAGGGAATAGTTTGTATATGTAGCGTTACTCTAAAACTAGTTCCTATTTAATAAAACTAAGTGTTCCCATCCAACTGTGAAACACTGAAACATCTGTTATCTAGTTAGTAAAGCAACAAGGATTAATAAGAGAAACAAGAAAAACATCAAACTACTAACACTTGTTAAATGCAAGAAATGTGCACCGTTTGCACTTGATGCCACAGATTACTCTAACTAAATAGTTTGAGCATCTATTAGGTGAAAATTCTATCAGAATTCAACAATTCATGAGAGTGCAGAATCAGACGAAGGTGAGGTCCAGTGACTCCTAGGGAGAATATATATAAGGAAAAGTTTTGGTCCCATAGAGAAATAAGGTTCTTTTGGTAATGGGAGGGTGTTTGGATTTGCAATTTCTTGATTTACAAGTTTTAATCATACCCAGTGGACAAATTAGGCATAGAAGATAATGGGTATTCTGGTATCTTGTCTGCAAGTACGATGGGACCAGGCTCTAAGAAACGTCAGCAAAAGCTTATATAGAGAGACTGACAGAAGAATCTCCATTACTGTTGTAACCTTCTCTTTTAGTATTGCCTTTTTTTAGGAAAGAAGAGAAGAATTCCAATTATTCTGTTTAAAACAAATTGTTCAACATGATTTGAGTCTGTTCATAAAAACAGAGAACTTGGACCTTTTGTAAAGGCATTCCACAGTATGTTAAAGACAGAAATGCTCCATACCCATCTTCCTTTTTTTTTTCCCCTTATAATATTGTTTCCCTTTTTCTCTGCCTTTTTTCACTAAACAATTTTACTTCAATGTCTTACTCTAATTGGTGGTGGCAGAGCCAGAGGCATGGCTTCTATGTCTTTTAGCAGAGTTTTCGGGCAGCAACAACAGTGAAACTAAAGCGTAGAGAAACCAAGCTATTACTGCTGTAAATATAAACAAAACAGCTTCTGTATCTCACAAATCACAATATCTTATGTTTAGAACTAACATCAATTTTTTTATTCAATTGGGTACTGACACTGTTTGTTCACAAGATCAAATTGTTATGTACATTGGGGGCAAAATGTCGCATTTCATCCCAAAAAAACATTATAATTAAACAACGCACACAAAGATACAAACCCTTCTAAATTATAGATTGAGACATATCCACAAAATTTTTTACCTCAAACAAAGATGCCCAGTTGAGCTATAAGGCAGAACAGGATCACGATGCTGTCAGTGCCCGGTAATCTAAATACATTAAACCATCATAATAATTAAGAAAAGGAAGTGTTACTAAAGACATTATTTTACCCCACAATTATAGAATGCTGAATATCAAAATAACAAGATTTCAAGAAATCATTCTGAAGTCAAATGACTATTCAGGCATGTAGCTTTCAAGACATATCCACTTTCCCTCTGAATATTAGCCTCTCGACAGAAATTCTGCCACAAACATTATCTATAACCACCAAGATACAGCCATCATTGTTATCACTGTCTTATAATTGTGGAGATTTTGTGATTTAAAAAGTAGGCAGTTCAAGCAATTCAGCATAACAGCAAGTTGAATGCTAGTGTAAAATGCACTAGATTGCCATATAAAAAACGAAAGACTTAAACAATGGTGAAAAGACATACTAAACAGCTACAAATAATAATGACAAACAAAACCACTCTTGGCATTCAGGTCTACAGCAACCACTTGCATTACATCTTGGCTTTTTATCCTTTAAATCGACATATACAACTTGCAATTTCATTGAACATCACCCTCTTGCCGTTACAAATTAGCACCAAGCCAAAACTTCCAAATATGAAAAATTTAATCAGGAGATTGTTCCATCATCTGTCAAATTCTACACAATATCTAGTTCAATAATTGTTATCAGAAGAGTAAATAATACGGAAATTCAAGGGTGCAGGGATTTTCAAAGGTTCTATCCCTTCATTCACATGCTCTTTCTCTCTACCTCACTCTTAGGTAATCACTATATCAATGTCTTCTAGGGGACCATATGTACCCTTTGAATATTGACAGCTCTCTAAGAATTGACTGTTCTTATCTTAAATTTTGAAATGTAGTTATGAATTATATGCCTATATGAGTAATCAATTATCTTTATTTATTATTATAGAAGTTGAAGAATCTAATTTATAGGCTGCATACAGATGAAGAACTTTCGTGATACAATTTAACACAATAAATGGTTCCAAAAAATATAGAAAATAAAACACAGAATTCGAGGTCTAGTCACACGCATTTTTCAATATGCAGACCTAAAGCTTTGTTCATGTGCAGCTTACCCTTATTTGTCAAGCAGGCTAAATGAAGGTCTTGACAGCATTTAACCCAACAGAACAGAGAATTAATATTTTATTTTATAGGATTTTCTTATCAGTATTTTCAAAGATGATTATTGTTTGGTCAATAATAACTACTCTGTTATGAATAATTTTCTTTGATACACTAACATGTTCACTAAAATACCTGAAATGTCTTTTGCAAATTACTAACTCCACATATTCCTAATCTTCATGAAAAACACAGACACATTGTATACTATCCTCAGACCCACAAGATGAAGAACAATTTTAGCTAAATCATCAACTATTCTACTGCAGAAGGAAATAAATAGTAACATTATGTTATGGTTAACCAATTCCTAAGGCAAATATACGATGAAATTAGGAGCCAACAATAATAATCATCAATATCAGTGCAAAACATTAATATATAATAACAAAAAAAAGGGTAACGCTTACAACCAGAAACAACTGTGTGGGCACAAGAGAAAGAAAGAAAATAAATAAAAAAAAAAAAAAAGATAATCAACCTCAACGTGTAAAACTAAAAGCTTGACTTACATACATCTGAACACACTGAGAAATAGATAAGATACAACTCCATCTAGCAGCATAAAATAAAATAAAATAAAAATAACAGTAAGAGAATGCATGAAAGAGAGAGAAAAGAAACAGTTTTTTTTTTCTTACTTGTAGATAAAGATGCATATGACTTTGGGTTTCTGATGAGAAAACCAGCAATTCCACCAATCCATTTACGCTTCAGATAACAAAGATAGCTTCCACGAATCACATTTAACCAAGCAGTTCATGCACCAATACTTCAAATTCCATCCCTTTTCTTTGTATTTTCTCTCTCTTTCAGTTTTTTTCCTTTGGATTCCATTCACACCACTACCGAAATTGCCATTTATTTATGTCTTTACCCTTTTATCCTTTTTTACGCCGATCATTCAACTCTCTCCCGCGAAATTTAGAAGAAATTTATTCTTAGTGGTTTTTTACTGAGTGGCTCAGCTAGCTATGAGGTTGCAGACTGGGGAGCTGTGGGTTTCACACCCATGCACCATATCTCTCTTATGATTATTTATGAGTAAGGGCTGTTAAATATTAAATCCCGATTAATCTTTTTAGATTTTTCTTTGAACAAGAGTTGGTTTTAAGTCATTGATGAGACGGGTAGAGTAATTGTATTTGTGGGGGCCTTCTATTTACTTCACTGTTTATTCGTTGAATGTTTTTACAAATGTATAGACCATTATGTTTAAATTTAAAAAGAATAATTTTTTATTAAAATTTGTGAATAATATTTTTTAAATATTAAATTGATAAAATTATTAATAATTATCTTTTATTATAATTTGAGATAAGAATACGACAAACATGTTAAATGTTACAAAAGGATAAGCAATGGGTTTTTAGGTAATTTTAGGGGCAATTTGAAGTTAAGTCCTATATGATGTAGGTGTGTCAGTGTGGGGTTACGTTGCTGAAATGATGTGACGGGTCACAATCGCAGGGCTAATTTCGGTGGTGATCTGAGCACAGGTTGCCACATGGGCTGAGCTTAAAGCCTCCAATCAAAAACATTTTGCCACGTGGGATGCTCGGAGAGGGACAATTTCTTGGCAGCCCCGGCCCTACCCTTACCCTGCCACCCAAACCCGATTTCACCAACCATCATTCTTCAATTCCCATCTTGTCAGCTCATCTCCTCCTCAGTACAACCTTTCTCTAATCTTCTTCTAAATTTCTTTACTTTTAAGTAGGCTTTTTGTTTTTCAATTTAAAAATAATAACTTTTTAATGTTAAGATTAACAACGCTATCCTAGGAAGATAACTCTGGAATAATATTTATAGATAAAAAGGGGTTTTTTTATAGTAAACCATCTTGAATTTGATTTTTTTTTTTTTTTATATTGAGCACCTGTTTGTTTTAAAAATGTGACTTTAATCTTGTTTGTTTGGCATTTTTTTTTAGTAAGCACCCACTAATTTTAAAAATATAATGTTAACCCTCATTTTTTACAAACTACAAGGTTATTTTGTTTAAGTTTGAAGGAAATGATATTTTTATTGTAACCCAAGTTCAATCAATATATAATAAAAAAAATGGTCAATAATGTTGAGAAGTTAATATAATTTTTGAAGGTTAAATTAATGAAATTGTTAGTTAAATAAATTTGAAGGTTAAATTAATAACATTTCCAAATACTCACTACAAAAAAAGGTCAAACACATGGAGATTAGGACTGCATTTTTTAAACCAACCAATGCTCACTACAAGAAGGCAAAACACATAAGAGACAAAAGTCACATTTCCAAAACCAACCAATACTCACTATAAAAAGCTTAAACCAATGTTTTTATACTTGGACCGAGCCTTGACTAGGTCAAAGGGCTGGTCCTCAGGTTGGGAGGTCTGAACAACGGGTCGGACTAGCAATGTTAGCATGAAACCCTAGTATGAAATTTAACAGATATACCCTTGAAAAATTCTATTAATCCCTATAGTTTTGAAATCTAACAAACACACCCCCGCGATCTAGCTAGGAGACCCTAGTCGTCACAACTGCAATCCACCCCAGATCAGGCCAACGCTGGACAAACCACCACCATCCACCACAACAAAACCCACCAAAACTAAGGGAGTCGTTGCGAAGAGGAGATGAAGGTTGAACAGGCGAGTGAAGTGCAGCCGACAACGGACAGGTGGAACGACGGAGTTGTGGAGCAAAGCAGCCTAAGTAGTTGATCAAAGGACAC